GTGCTTTCTCTAAACATTCCCCAGGTACGCTTTATTGCCGCAGTTTATGCTGTAACTAAAAGGAGCATTACCCGGGCCCATGTTGTAATTTCCTTGTAGAGCCGGCAGCCCACTCCCAAGCTAGGGGTTGGGGGTGGGGTGGGGAGCCTCTCTCCCATATGTGGTCGAGTGACCCCAGCCCGTTCCCAGTGCTCTTCATTCCAGAAGGGGTTCCCTCTGAGGTCTCTGTGGGCCAAGGTTTTGGCTCCCCCTTCTCTTGCCTCTCAGGGGAAGTGGTTCACAGTCACTCATGTTTGTGTCTCGGGAGTGTAGCCTGGGGTTTGGAGCACTGGGGGGCAGGAACTGTGAGGTCATTGGGGTGAAAGAGGCTTGGCATGGACCAGCTTCTCCACCCAGAGATGGGGAAGGCATCAGCATGGGCTGATGGTAGGCTTGGAGGAAAAAAATGTGGCTGAGCAGGGACCCAGGCAGGAGCACGGGGGCCGTGGCTGGGCTGCCAGGAGCATCCTCCGCTAGCCAGGCTTTCCAAGGCTCTCCTATTTGGCCCCTGGGGCCTCCTCCAAGCATTGCCTGGAGCAGTCTGCTCTGCTCAGCTTCCTGATGGGCCCGCTGCCCTGTGTCTCCCTGTCCACCTCATAGTGCTGGGCCCAGAATGGTACTCGGTACTCCACACGTGGTTGATGGGTGACAGACGGTGTGATTGTCAGCTCCCTGGCTGTAGACACCAGGCCTCGGATAATACAGCCTGTGGCCACAGTGTCTTTCCCAGCAGCCAGGCTACCCTGCTGACTCCCACCCCAGATGACAGTTTCTCTCTCTTTGCTTTGGGGAGCTTCGGGACACTCTCACTGAACAGAGCCTGAGCTCCGAGACCCTTGCAGCAAGCTTTCTCCCACCAGGTTTCCGGAAGGGAAATTCACTTCCGAACCAAAATCCTCTCCCTGGGATCCCGTGGCTGGTCTAGGATACACATCCCTCCTGTCTGACTCTGAAGCTCGTATGGCTTCATCTACTGGTGCCCCATGAGCCTCCTCAGCCAGGTTGGGGGTGAAAGGGGACGTGGCCTACGTGGGACTTGCCTTCAGCTTCTCTCATCCAGGTCTGCAAGGAGGATGGGGCAGCCCCCAAGGCCTCACCAGGAGGCCCCAGGGCAGCACTTCCAGCAGGCACCAAGGGGCTCCATTCCTGAGGCTCCTGGGGGAGGGGTCAGGAGCCTGCCTCCTAGCCCCCTCACCCTCCCTTCCCTCATCCAGCCAAGTGGCTAGCAGATGGGCTCTGGCTACTTCGAGAAGGAAGCAGGACCCAGTGGCTGGCTAGGCCAAGCCTGCCTGGAGGGTCTCCTCCTCAGGTCTGGAGAACACATTTAAAAGTTTGAATTCAAAATTGATTTTGAAGGGCCCTAATCTCCGATCCCCTGGCGCTCACGGTGTGTCTGTAGCTCCTGCCAGACTCTCGTTTTCTGGTTCAGCGCGCTGGTGCTCGCATCCCTGATGCTGTGAAATTGAGACTCGTCTGTGAGGCCGTGCCGTCCTCCTCCTCTGCGGAGATTGCAGGCCTCTTGGGAACCCTGTTTCATTAGATGGGTGAGGCGGGCTTTGCGGGTGCCCAGGGAGCAGCTGAGTTGCTGTCTGGGGAGTGCGGCTTCCAGATGCTTCCACACTGGTCCCCACAGCTGTGCAGCTCCAAGCAGGATCCTGTCAAGGGCCCTGGGGGCTGGCTCCAGCAGCCCAGGATGGGATGGAGCTTGGGGGAGGCTAAAGATGGAGAAAGGCTCAGGCCTGGGGTTTTTTGCAGCAAAAAGGGGCTTTTTCCTCCCACTGGCCCCCAGAAGCTCAGACTAGGCCAGGAGGGAAGAGTGGTCATGTCTGTAAGCCAAGAGGGCTGTTGGTGGGGAGTTGGGGAGGCTAGGTCTGTGCCAGGGGAGGAGGGGTGCCCAGGCCACAGGCACGAAGGGCAAGACAGAGCTGCTGAGGCTCTGCAGATGCCTGAGCTCTGGGGCCCCACCTCCGCCCGCCGAGGGCTGGGATGGAGTAGTTATGTGCAAGGGGAGGTTTGGAGGGGGCATCATTTCTGCTGGATCTGTAGAAGCTGAAGGACCGGGTTGCTGCCCCTTTATCTAAGGGGTAGAGGGTTTATATTTGCACAAGAGCTGTCTTTTCTTAGCTGGAGCCCTGGGATGAGCCTCTCAAAAATCCGGATTGTGGCAGGCAGGGCCTGGGCACTGCCACAGCTGGATCTGCTTTGTTTGTTAGGGCCACGTGGCTACAGGTGCCCATAGGTGCCTACAGATGCTACAGGTGTGGCATGGGGCAGCAACAAGCCCGAGGAAGGCTCCCATCTCTGGCCTGCCTGTGTGCTTCGGCCCACTCTGGCCAGTAGACTCTTGCCAGTGACATCTGGATAGATTCTGCTCAGTCTCTTCATTCACTAACTGAACTGATGGTGAAAAGTGACTGCTGTGGGACTCAATGCTGGGGACACAATGATGAACAAGACAGACAGAGCCCCCAAAACAGGCCTTCATGGGGTTTGTACTCTTAGGAGAGAAACCAATCATTTTTCTTAAGTAAAATCACAGAAAAGTAAAACAATTACAAATTGTGATAAAAACTCAGAAGGAAATGACTGAGGAGTCATTTAAATAAGAAAATAAGGATGTCAAGGAAGGCCTCTCTGAGATGACCTTTAAGCTGAAGCCCAAAGATGAGAAAGAGCCAGCCACATGAAGAGGCAGGGAAGGGTGTTCTGGGAAGGGGGAAATAGCATGTGCAAAGGCCCTGAGGCAGGAGGGAGATCTGGAGTGTGGCTGAAACACTGTAAGGGAAGGGGAGACAGGGGACAGACCATGTGAAGCTATCATGGGCTTAATGAAGAGTGTGGATGTGATTCCCAGCCCACTGGAAGTTAAGGAAGAGTTTCAACCTGAGCAGTGACCTGACCTCCTTGGTTTTGAAAGATTCTCCAGCTGCTGTGTGAAGTTGAATTGTAGATACTAGAAACATAAGGCTGGTGGGGGCAGTGCTGATGGTGCAGTGAAAAATGGTGGTGGCTCTGGAAATAGAATGAAGCAGGTTGGATGGGGACCAGGAATCGGCAGAGGAGAGGGGATGAGGATGACTCTGGGTTTCTGGCCTGAGCATCTGGGTGGATGGTGGTGTTAGTACGGTGAAGAGAAGCCTGCGGTCAGGGTACAGGTTTTGGGGAGGAGATCTAGGGTCTTATTTTGGAGATACTGTTTTCTAGATATCTCTGGGACCTTATAGAGACAACCGGAGAAATGGAAGAGAACTCACTGCAGGCAACTACGCAGTTCACTCAAGCATCCTTCCCTGTGACGGGCTACAGGGAGCACATGCATCTTCCTAGGTTTCTTAGTTCCCCTCACTGGAGAACTGCAGAAAAGGCGTGCGGCTGCGAGCGCAGATTCCTCTGCCCCTGCTCCGCTGCCTCCCGGTGCATCGTCCAGGCCCCTCTGCACGTTCTTGACTGGGTCCCCGAGAGCTGTTGCCCGACCCCGGGCTGTGTGGGGTTCAGCTTCCCTCAGTGAAGACTCTTGAGATGTGTGTGGCCACTCCTCAGCCCCTTCGTCTCCGAACACAGAAGGTCCCCACGGGTTCAGGCTCCAGGACACAGCGTGCCTGAGGAGGCTCGCTTCCCCCAAAAAACGCTGTGAAAATGCCTGCTGCTTCATGCTCCCGCAGAGGAGATGGCTCCTCCAGGGACTCTGGGGACCATTGGCCGCTCTGCCCTGCAGCATCCCTGTAAGGCGTGTTTCAGAGCTGGCCTCTTTTGGCAGGGCCCGAGCAGGAGTCCGCTTTCCCCACTGCTTAGGAAAAGGTGGGGTGATGCCGCCTCTGGATAGAGCAGGAAGGGGTGGGGTGCGCCTCCCGGCCGGCAGCCTGCGTCTGAAACCCCACTTGGCCACCTCAGGATGCCCTTGGGAAGGTCGTGTGATTTCCCTGAGCTCAGGTCCTGATGAGGGTGAGCGTTCCTGAGTGCAGAGCAATCGGCCTGCGGCAGGCGTTCAGTAAGGGGTACTACCAAGTGGTCGAACGTGACTACAGGGGCTGACGTTGGGGATGTGACTGGGCTGTGCTTTCCTGTGGCCTTCCCTACTGTGGCGGACCGTGGGGACCAGGAGGAACTTGGCACTCTAGAGAAGGCAAGCGTGCTGGACCTCCTTTACTTTTCTTACTCTGAGCTGGGCCCTTCTCCAGGACCCTCCCCAGCCCCCACCATCCCCTCATTCACACTCAAGCCCTTGGCTGTTGATTGAGGCTTCCCTTGCTATTGTCGCTATGATCTGGAGCCCCCAGCTCTCCCCTCGCAGCTCAGCCTTCCCACCCCTGCCCTAGACCTGTGCCTTCTCAAGGCTTTGTCCCCCTGAAGGCTGCAATGCAAACGTCTTGACTCTGCCTCCACACAGCCCTCCTGCTCCCTTCCCAGTCCTTGTGCCCTTTTTGTCTTTTGTTTCTGGTCCATATCTGCTTTTTGGCCCCACCAGAAGCGCTTTCAAGAACCCGCAGCAGCTTCTAAAGGACGACTAGGTGAGTAGAAATGGCCTGTGACCCTGCAGAGCATGGTGGGAGTCAATGCCCTGCCTGGGCACCATCCCTCCTGGTCTTAGCCCGGCCCACCCTAAGCACTCCCCCTGTCCCTGCCCCGCGTCGGCTGGCTTCCAGCGGCACGGGAGAACCCAAGGCTGCCCCAGCAAGGCTTCCTCACCCGGGCTGTGCAGGGGGGCCACGGGTGTGGGCTGGATGAGAACTTGAACTCTGGAGTCTGTCAGGCCTGGGACTCCAACCCCCACCCTGCAACCTTCCGGCTGTGTGACCTTGGGTAAAGGCCCAAGCCTCCCTGGGCCTGTTTCCTCATCTGTTGAATGGGGGCAATCCTTTACTACTTCAGTGTGAAAATGAGGTTTCACTGAGATAACAGCTGTAGTGAGTGCTCAGTGAATGGTGGGTTTATGAAGAGGCGTATAAAGTCCGACTGAAGAGTCTCCATCTTAGTTCTTTTTTTAATTGAGATGTAACACATAGACAGTAAAATGCACAAGTCTCAAATATTCAGTTCACCGAATTTTTACATATGTTCATATCCATTTAAACACCACCCAGATCAAGATGGAGGACATTTCTGGTCCCTCAGCAGCCTTCCTCACGCCTCCTGCCAGGTGACAATCACCCCGTTATTCTGACATCTCTCCCCACAGATGGGTTTTGCCTGTTCAGGAATTACGTAGAAATAGAATTATACAGGATGTAACTTTTTGGTGTCTGGCTTCTTTAATTCAACATTATGCTGTCTGATTCATCCATGCCGTATCTGTGACTTATTCTTTTTCACTGCTGTGTACTATTCCATTGTATAAATCTACTCTAAGTTATTATCCATTTTACTGTTAATAGACATTTGTGTTGTTTTTGGTTTGGGGCTATTATGAGGAAAACTCCTATGAACATTCTTGTACATCTCCTTTGGTGGACGTAAGCTCTCATTTCTTTTGGGTGTATACCTAGGAGTAGAATTGTTGGGTCCTAAGAGATCCAGAAATTTTCTTAGCTGATTTTGTTAAGCTACTGTGTCAAATATTGGTGTAAACACTTCATGTGCACTATCTAATTTAATCTTCAGCATAATCCTTTAAAATAGGCTGTTCTCATTTAGCAGGTGAGTAAATTGAGGCAGAGCTGGGAAGTGATGGAGCCAGAATTCAATCTGAGACCGTCTGTCTGCAGGGCCCACAATCTTCATGTCTACACTGCCTACCTCTTCTCTCAGACTCCCTGGAGGGGCAGTGCCCGTCCCTCCACTGAGCTGACCACCACCCTGCAAGCCGAGCCCAGCCCCCCAGCCTTCCTTTCTCTGCCTGAGTGGGGAGTTAAGAGGCTAGAGGAGCCCCCACTTCTCTCCCTCATCTAACCCAGCAAACACGGCGCCTGCGAATGGGTGCGCAGAGGGGCAGTAATGAGTGTGCTCTGGGTGGCTGTAGCCACGCGTTTCAACAGTTGTTCTCGTTGGCTTTTGATTCCAAATGAGTAGGAAATGCTATTAGTTCGGGCCTCGCCTGCTGCGTGGCGAGGCCCTGGGACAGGAGTGCACTGAGACGAGAAATTGTGGAGATAAAACTGGTGTGAAATGGAGGCCTTCTCACAGGGCTGGAGGTGTCCGTGCGAAATGAAGTTACTTCTGAGAAAACGAGATTTAAAGAGATCCTGCGGAATTAGATTACACTTTCAAATTTCCTTATTAAACGGGATTGATGCCGGGGAGGGGCCACTGGCTGGCTCTGTTTGGGATCCTCCTCTGCAGTTCCAGGCCCGGGTATGAGCCCAGGGGGTACCAGCACCTTGCAGGTGGCAGGGACCAAGATCCCTGGAGGCCACAGACCCCACCCCCAGCAGCTGAAGTGAGTGTGACAGTTGTGGGGCTGATAATGTCTGGATAATTTCCGCCGCTCCACGTGGATTCCTGTGGGTGAAACCTGGGGCACTCACATTCTTCCATTTCCTTGGGGAAGTCGTATTGAGAACAGAGCGCCAGGCCTCTGACTCGTGGGTTTCATTCAAATCAGAGCTCAGTTTTGAGCTATGATCCATTTTTTTGGAAATGTGGTTTTTTAAAGACAGTAAACGTGCACGTGACTGCTCATGCATATGTGTGTGTATTTACATGAGCACATCCATGCATGTGTGTGCTTGGATGCATGGGCGTGCACTGTCATGCTTCTTACTGAGCAGCTACTGTGTGCTAGCACAGTGCTGGGTACGGAATAAAACTGTTGTGGGGGGGGAATAAACAGACACAGTCCCGCCTCTCATGGACCTGGTGCAGACATATGTGATTACATGCATACGTGTTACTGTCTCTGTGCTGCTGTGGGTATTTGTGTATGTATCTGTGTACCTCCCCTGTGTCTCCTAGTCTCTGTAACGTCTCCCGCCTGGGTCTGCTAGCACCTCAGAGATGGCAGCACATAGCCTGGCAGCACAGCAGATGAGTCCAGTGCTTGGGCCCTGAGACAGAGTGCCAGGGTTCAAATGCCAGCTCTGCCACACACTAACTGTGTGACCCTTGACAAGTCATAACCTTCCTTGCGCCTCAGCTTTCCCACTGTTCAAATAGGAATAACGATGGTACCTACCTCCTCAGGCGACTCTGAGCTAAGCACTTGGAAGCTGAGCTCTGCTGTGTTCTGTCGGCAGCATCTCTGCAAAGTGCCCTGAGCCCCGGGGAAAGCCCTGCCCAGGCTGCCTCCTGCCCCTGAGGAGGAGAGGGGGCCTGCGGTGAGGAGGGAAGCTGCAGAGCTGCACCTGGCAGCTGGGTTGTGCCGTGTGGGCACGGGTTTGGCATCAGTGCCGAGGCGCACGGAGACTATGAGAAATACCAAGGCTGCACCTGCCTGTGCCCCAGGGCTTTCCCCAAAGCAGCCAGAGGGAGCTGCCCTGAGCTGTCACCCTCTGAGCCGCCGCAGCACCCCCTTCCCACTTGACTGGTCACTGAAGCTGCCTGTCAGACAGGTGGGGCTGACTTCCTTCTGTACATGTTTGCAGTGACCACTAGAGTGTGCTTGGGGTAATGCTGGACGCTAGCCAGTACCTGTGCAACTTTAACCCCGGTGGCTCGTTCAAATTAGTTTATTCTCCTCAAAATGCGTCCATCACTATTTTAGGGACCTGAGGTGGAGCTGTGACTAAGGAGGTCCTTTCCCATGTGCTGAGTGGGGTGACACTGATCAGAGCTAACTTTGGACGACAAGTCCAGTTAGCCTTGAGCACTTCACACGTATTAACTCCTTTACTCCTCGCCGTGACTCTATGAGGTGAGCACTGTCTTCATATTTATTTACAACAAAGAAAACTGAGGCACCAAGGAGTTAAAGTCATATAGTCAAAGGGTCAGACAAACCCAAATTGAAGGCATTCCACAAAATAACTGGCCTGTGCTCTTCAAAAATCTCAGTGTCTTAAAACACAAAGAAAGGCTTAGGAATTCTTCCAGATTTAAGTAGACTAAACTTGACAACTGAATGCAATGCATGATCCAGAATTTTATTTTGCTATAAAAGATATTATTGAGGGAAGTGGTGAGATCCAAATGAAGTCTGTATATTAAATAATGGTGTTATATCAATGATAATTTCCTGGTTTTCGTAATTGTACTGTGGTCGTGTGAGAGAATATCCTTGCTTTTAGGAAATACACACCAAAGTATTAAGGGGTATAGGGGCTTCTTGTCTAAAACTAATTCTAAAATGAGTCAGGAAAAACATTATAGGTAGGTAGGTAGATAGAAAAGGATAAAGCAAACATGGAAAAATGTTCATGTTTAAGGAATCTGGGTGAAGGGTATACAGGAATTCTTTCTATTCTTGCAACTTTACTGAAACTTTGAAATTATGTCAACATAAAAAGTTAAAGCGGGGCTGGCCCAGTGGCACAGTGGTTAAGTTCGCACGTTGCGCTTTGGCAGCCAGGAGTTTGCTGGTTTGGATCCCGGGTGCAGACATGACACCACTGGGCACGCCATGCTGTGGTAGGCATCCCACATATAAAGTAGAGGAAGATGGGCATGGATGTTAGCTCAGGGCCAGTCTTCCTCAGGAAAAAGAGGAGGATTGGCAGCAGTTAGCTCAGGGCTAATCTTCCTCAAAAAAAAAAAGTTAAAGAAGAAAGAAAACAAGTGTCAGAGCCAGGAAGACATGCTGGGGGGCATCTTAACTCTGCTACCAGTTCCTATTTGCAGGCCCCCTCTGGCTGCTAGACTCTGCTGTGGCTTCACAGGCATGACTTAGTCTACCCTCACGCAGTCTGTATGGGAAGAGACTATCGGGGCCCCCATTTCACAGATGCAAGTCAGAAAGGTGAAGGGATTTGCTCCAGGCCCTCCAGCTACTTGGGACAGTTCCCAGACTGGAAAGCTGGCTCTCTGAGTTCAAGGTCTGTGCTCTTAGCTTCAACCCCACTGTGACTGTGACCTTTGGGGACAGTGGGGACGGGCAGGACAAGGCATTTCTCCCTGGAGCAGTGGTGGAGTGAAGGCCCTGCTAGAGAAGCAAACAGGATCAATTTGCAGGATGGAAAGGGACATTATTCCAGGATTCTGCAGGGACCAGATCCAGGAGTGCCGAGGAGGACATGCTGGCATGTGAGAGGGGGCCTCAAATGCCAGGTGGACTTGCCAGTGGTGTGGCTGCCAGCAGGGGAGCCACAGGGCATAGCCTGGAGTGACCTGGGCTGGGTGGGGCAGGCATTCTGGGGTGGAGGACTGGCCTCGCAGGAGTCCCCTGGGAGGCGGCGGGAGTTCTGCACCGCCAGGCTCAGCCTCTGTGCAAACTGGAGGCATCGGATCGCTGGGCCCCAGGGGCCAGTAGGGAGAAGTCTGAGTGCTGGGTCTGAGGGCAACCTGGCCTGGGACAGGTGGGCAGGAGTTGCTGAGAACTTGGGTCTGGCCCTGCAGACCACTCTGGGGGGGTCCATGTGAAGAGGAGGGCCTCTCTCTTGGCTGGAGGGAGGGTGCAGGAAGGGCCGAATGACCTCTGGCAGTCCCTCTCGTTGCCCGGACTGTCTGGCTTTTCCTCAGATTAAAGAGCTGCGAGTAAGAGTCTGGCAGCCGATGAGTCAGACGGCGAGGCTGCCTCCTTCCACCGTTGGCTGCCCGGCATAGAGGCGGGGTAGGGGCTTGGCCTAGCTCCCCTCAAATGTCAACCCCCACACCCTAAGATTTGAGGGGAACACACGGGCTGATGAGCTGGTTTATTTTGCCCGTCCCGTGTGTGCGTCTGAGCGGAGCTGGCACATGCGTGTGCGCAGGGGCAAACACCAGCCGTTGTCGAATATCAGTGTTTTCATGGGTGAGTAGTAATTATTGGGTAATGCTTTAAAACCTTTCCTGAAGGAGCGCAAAGCTGGTTTTTTCTAAAGTCAGAAGTACATTAAAAGGATTACCATGTAGATTTGATTTTTAGATAACACTAAAATGGATCCCAAATGGACTTCAGCAAAGGGATGCTATCTCCTTAATGGAAAGTGCATGGCCCCGAGGCTCAGCTCCCACAGCCAGGCAGGGGAGGAGGGTGGGGAGAGGTGTCTGCAGGGCCGGCTGGCGGCGGGTGGGGCTGGGGAGGAGGCCAGGGAGGGGAAGCCCGGACCCTCTGGGGAACGTCGCTCCATCTGGGGAGCAGGAGACCACAGATGCCCCCTTCAACCCCCGCACCTTTCCAGGAGTGTTGTCCAGTCTCCGGGACTAGCCCAGTGAGAGCAAACACAGTGTGTGTTCCCTAAAGAAGGGAGGGCTGAGTCAGACTTCTCCCAGGACCTCAGCCTGGCCAGACAGAGAAAGCTTAAGGTCCCCAAAGCTCTGGGACCTCCTCAGCCACGCTGGCCCTGGCGTTCCCTGTCTCAGTGGACACGAGACACTGGCAGAAGCCACGTAGCTTCTTAAGAGTTCTCCAGGAGGCAGAGTGCAGCACCCTAGAGCAGAGCAACCAGGCCTTACAGAGCACCTGCTGTGTGCCAGGACCAGCCTGGGCACGGGCAGGGGGCAGGGGACCTGGGGCAGCCTATAGTTTCGCTCCGCATGGCCTCCCTGGGTCGTCTAGGTCGCAGGTCCCACTGGGGACGGAATTGCTGGCTGGTGCTATAGTTCATAACCCTGCAGCCTCAGGGGCCAGGCATGCTGGGGCCTGAGCTTGAAAGGCCAGCCTGTCCCGGAGCCAAGCCAGATGGAAGATGGACCAGGACAGACACTCCTAGTGCTGGGATCCTCCTTCATTTGGGGGTATACCTGTGGGCCAGGTGTATCCCCTGCGTGTGGATGGTCCAGCCACTCACCCCCCCTGCCAGTGATGGCACAAGTGTAGAGCCCCTGGAGGGCCCGGGACTGCTGGGAAGAGAGCCAGGCCTGCTGCCAGCCCAGGTGAGCAAGGGGAAAGTCAGCCTTTGCAGGGCTGTGCTAGAGGCCTGGCCTGAGATTTTCCAAGTTGGTATGTATATGCAGAGCTATGCTGGCTGGGTGCTCCTTCCGCAGGCCCCAGGGACAGTAATCCCAGCCTGGGACCCCCAGACCTCCCCACATCCAGCTCTCTTAACCTCTCCCCCATTTGCCCCTGTAGGCCAGGCCTTTTGGAAGGAGACTCACAGGCTCCCCTTTGCTCTCAGGGGTGCCTGCTCTCCAGCTGGCTTCCCTGGGTTTCTCAGAGCTCTGGGACCGGGCTGGACCCTGCCAGAGGAGACACAGGCAAGGGTTCCCCTTTGCTCTCAGGGGTGCCTGCTCTCCAGCTGGCTTCCCCGGGTTTCTCAGAGCTCTGGGACCAGGCTGGACCCTGCCAGAGGAGACACAGGCAAGCCTGAGGACATAGTCATCCTGAGCCCCATCACTCTCTCAGACCAATTAACCTTTAGAACTGCATTAAGGAAATTAGGCAGCAAACTTCCCAGCTAACAGACGGCCCTGCAGGGCTGGAGTGGGGAGGGAGAGAGCCCATCACAGCCTGGGCTGCCTCCTCCCTGCCCTCACCTGACCCGCTGTTCCTGGGCTCCGGAGGGCCACCCTGGCCCAGGGGCCACCCCCTCCCCAAGGGAAGTCTGAGGAGGCAGCGAAGCTGAGAAAGAGTGCAGGAGCAGGGGAAGGACCCCCGGGGCCAACTTGATCTGTGGTTTCTACTAGCTCCTTGAACAGTGTGGGCCTCAGTTTCCCCATTTGTAGAATGAGAACACTTGCCTGGAGGAACTCTGAGGGCCCTTCTGACCCGACGTCTGTGGATTCTGAGACTGAGGCCCCTTGGAGGCTGGTTCTCTCCCCTGAAGCCTGAGGAACGGTCACATCTGGAAGAGCGAAGGGAAAGGAAGCAGCTCAGACTCTGGGCTGGGGGCAGTGAGGGGAGGGAGGGACAGGAGCTGAACCCAGAGCCCTGGAGGGTACAGACCACCCTTGGAGAGAATGGGGCCAGGAGGAGGGCAGACTTCAGGGGCTTGTGGGAAAGCCGAGGGGGGGGGCAGGCAGGGGTGGGCTGTTCCCTCCAGAGTCCACCCCTCTGTTCTCCTGAACCTTGGTCAGGGGAGGCACCCCCAACCCCACCGCCTCCATGGGGGGCTCTCAGGTAGCTCTCACGGGCAACCCCTTGTCCAGGTCAGGGCTTCTGAGCCTCCCTCACTTCCCTCCAAACCTAGTCTTTGCCACACTCAAGCCTCAGGGCTCCACGTGGATGTCCAGGCTCCCCAACCTGTCTCCACCTCCTCCTCAACTGTCATTCTCTGTGGTCACTCCCTGTGGCCCCAGGGCCAGGGGCCAGGAGCCCGTGCCTCTGTGCACATGCATGCACGTGCTTGCACACTGTGCCTGTGTGCATGGAGTGTGCATGAGTGCACACGCCTGCCTGCTGGGAGGTCTTCCCCTCCCTTCAGTGAATGCCTTGTTGAGATTCCTGCCTTTCGTACTCAGCACTGTTTTGTATGTTGGGAAGCTTATATGGGCCCTGAGAGAGGCCCAGTGGCTCAGATTCTTATCCTGGTGGGATGAGCAAGGATCCAGAGGCTCAGATCCTCCCTTCCCTCAGGCCACGGCAGATAGGAAGTTTGAATCTAGGTAGAAGCATTCCTGAGGAGAATCCAGCTGCCTCCCCACATGGACGTGCCAGGAGCTCCAGAGCCCCTGCTCCCTCCTGGGAGTGTCACAGGGGCATCTCACTTTCCTCTTGACACCTCCACAGTTCTGCATGAATAGACCAAGAGGCTGCAGGCTGACTTTTTAGATTAAAATGGTCAAACACAAGCAATGTGAGGAAGTCTTGAGGTGGCAAAAAGATCTGGGAGTTCTAGTGGACCCCAAGGCCATTATGAGATTCTGTTTTTAGGGCTGCTGAAAGAGCCAATGGGATGGTGGCTGCCTGAGAGGGCTTCAGGGAGGCTGGTCCTTGGGGCTGTGTGTGTGCCCTGCAGCAGAGCTGACACAGGGCTCCCCAGTGCTGCCTGCGGCTTCTGGAGGGACCTTCACAGGGTGGGGGAACAGTCTATGCCATGCTGCCCAAAGGACAGGACCAGGGCCAGGGGAGGAGGTCACTGGGGAGGATGTGAGGGCTCCTGGGAGCCCCAACCCTGAGGGGCCAGCAGTGAGAAGCAGTGGGCTCCATTCCCAGGGGGATGTGCCCTGCTGCGGCTCAGAACCGCAGGGCTGACTCTGTGTCCATCTGTCTGTCATCTTTCCCCCCGCAGGTGTGCCGATGCTCTCCGTCCAGCCCAAAGGGAAGCAGAAGGGCTGCGCGGGCTGCAACCGCAAGATCAAGGACCGCTACCTGCTGAAGGCGCTGGACAAGTACTGGCACGAGGACTGCCTCAAGTGCGCCTGCTGCGACTGCCGCCTGGGCGAGGTGGGCTCCACCCTCTACACCAAGGCCAACCTCATCCTGTGCAGGCGCGACTACCTGAGGTGCGCAGCCGCCCCAGCCTGGCTCCTGCTTGGCAGCCCAGCCACCAAGTCCCGTGCGCTCTGCCCCTGGTCCAGACAGTGGGCACAGCCTGTGTCTGCTGTCCCCTGCCTGCTCCCCCAGAGACCCGAAGAGTCCCCAAGACAGAGCCCTGCCTTTAACCCCTTGGACTCAGTGTCTAGCACAGGTCCTGGGCAGGTGTGTGTGGCCACTGAGCACTTGAGATAAGCTGCCTGAGGGCACGAGCCTGGCTGCCCCTGCCTTTGCCAGGTGCTTCTGACCCAGCCCGTCCCTGGAATCTGGGATGGGATGCCTCAGAGGGGCTTCCAGGAGCAGGTGGGGAGGCTCCGACTTTCCTGGGCCCCTCCTGCCTGATGCAGTCTCCTTTCCCGCTCCCCTTTTCCAGGGGGGCCTGGGATTAGACACTTCAATGCCTGGGGAGTGTGGCAGGTGGCCAGACCCCAGGAGAAGGACCGCTGATGTTGGAGCTTACAGACCTGGGTTTGAACTAGCTCTGAGCCTTCTGGCTTCTAACCTTCTCCAAGCCTCAGTTTACTGCTCTGTGAATAGTGAAAGGACTAATGCTTCCCTGCCTCGCATTCCTCAGAGCTCTGACCTACCCTCCCCCACAACCTGGATCCTGTTCCCTGGGGCTGCCTCCCCCACTTAACCCTCCCTCAGGCCATCTATGACATCAGCAAGGCTGGAAGGAGGCCGCAAAGCGGGGGCCTTGGCTGAGACCCAGCGCCTGCATTTGGCTCCCAGGCAGGCTGCTGGGTGGCGGCAGGGCCTTACGGGGAAGGAAGGCCCATCGCATTAATTAATAGGTCGGGCCAAGGGCCTCGTGGCACTTCCTCTGCTCAGGACTTGGCATGTTAGGGGGGTGGGGTTATCAGCGGAGGCTCCCCTACTTCTCCCAAGAGCCTAAGATTTACCTGCCTGCATTTTCTCTTTTAACTGCTGCCTTTTGCAGTTTTTTAAAGTGGTGCAGTAAACCAGGATCTGTAACTCATTGCTCCTGGCTGGGGCCAGAGGAGAGGTTAAGGAAGGATGCCCTGGGCACTGCCCCTCGACAGCTTGGAAGGGACCTTCAAGTCTGGAGGTTTAGGACATCACTGGGGGCTGATCGTACCGGGTGGAGGGGAGGTGGCAGACCATCCAATGAGTCCACAGGACCTGGAGAGGGAGGACCGTGATGCGGGATGGGCTTGTCAGCAGAGTGGAAACACCCACAAACATTCTGGGCCCTTCCAGTTACTGGAGCCTGGAGGTATCCTTCTAGGCTCTGGCAGAGACCAGGGAATGACTTTGGGGCCAGGTAGGCCAGTGGGCCGGGTGGGAGGGGGCTTCCTTGAGCTGCTCAGCCCCAGTGAATGGCTGTCCAGGGTCTGCCCCTCTGCAGCCACTGCTCATGGATGGGGTGCAGTAAGGCCCCTTTTAGCAGGCAGGTGCTGTGGCCCAGCCTTTGTCTGCCTTAATCTGAGCCACCGGGCAGCTCGGGCTGATGAATAATGGAGCCAAGCCCGTCTGCAGGCGCCTGAGCTTGAGCTGGACAAATCAGGGATTAGAGGGGCCTCCTGCTGCCTCTCGGCCCCCTTGCCTCACTTGGGGCTGCTATGCAGGAAAGCAACCAGGAGAAGCCTGCTGGTTCTGACCAGTGGAACATCCAGGCAAGGACTGGTCTGCATGGGGGGCAGTGAGCTCCCCATCTCTAGAGCTTTGCAAGTAGCAGCTAAGAAGAGGAGTGCCCACCTCAAAGAGGCCTTGTGCCTGATGTCCTTGGAACTTCCTTTTGGCATCAGTCCTGTTTTAGAAGCACCTTTGAACAGGATCATGTAGACCAGCACTCCCATTTTAAAGAAGGATAAACTGAGGTCCAGGAAAAGGGAAAAGGGACTTAGGCAAATCACATGGTGAGTTGGTGGCAGAAAAAGACCCCCATAGGGTTGTTGTCAGGATTAAATGAGTTGATCTTTGTCAAGCTCTTAGAACAGTGCCTGGCACATGGTGAACACTAGAGAAGTGTTTACTGAATGAGTTGTGACTGAGACTTTACAAAAACTTTCAAAACAAGCCTGTGAAGGATGTATTTCAATCCTCGTTTTACAGTTGAAATAAATGAGGCTCAGAGAGACTCGAGGAGCCGGCTCCTGGCCGAGTGGTTAAGTTTGCATGCTCTGCTTCGGCGGCCTGGGGTTTCCCAGTTCAGATCTTTGGCGTGGACCTACACACCACTCATCAAGCCATGCTGTGGTGGCGTCCCACATAGAAGAACCAGAATGACCTACAACTAGGATATACAACTATGTACTGGGGCTTTGGGGAGTCCAAAAAAAAAAAAAAAAAAAAAGGAAGATTGGCAACAGATGTTAGCTCAGGGCCAATCTTCCTAAAAAGAAAAGCGAGAGACTTGGTGACTTGCCTGAGGACACACAGCACATGGTCAGCAGATTGCCTCTAAAGTCAAGCTTGCGTGAATCTTGAGTCCTTGCTCAAGGCCCAGCCCAGTGTTCTCCTGGTGGCCCCAGGTACTTGAGAAACCACAATGGGAACCTGGGAGGGGGTCCTGTCAGTCAAGCTTGGGGGTGGGCAGTGTTGACTGACCCCTGAGCCCCTACACTCACCTCCCCGGGTGGATGTGCCAATTTCTCTGAAGCCTAGTCTCTTGGCAGAATCTCAGTGCTGCTATCTGCGCTCCTACTGCCTTGCCCAAGCCCACCTGCTAAGCCCACAGAGGTGGGAGATAGCTGGGGGCCTGGGTGGAGACAACTGCCCTGCCTCCCCAGCTCCCTGGCCGGCCCCTGAGCCCTCTGCACCCTTCCCTCCACAGGCTCTTCGGCACCACAGGAAACTGTGCCGCCTGCAGCAAGCTGATCCCAGCCTTCGAGATGGTGATGCGGGCCCGGGACAACGTTTATCACCTTGACTGCTTTGCCTGCCAGCTCTGCAACCAGAGGTGAGTGCTGCACCCACAGCAGACCCGACCCGCTCACCTGCTCGCCAGACCCCATGATGCCCTCTGGGACAGACCAGGAGTGCTTTGGAGGCATGCATGCAAATCTGGGTTCTGTGTGTGCAAGTTGTCATGAGCATGCATGTGCATATGTGTGTTTTATGTATGCCTGAGCCCCATAGCCAAATGTGTGCACTCAATAGTGTGTGTGCATGTTTTTAGGGCACAGTTCTGTGTGAAGATAATGGATGGGGGGCATGTATGAGCTCACTGTGTATGCACAGTGTGAGTGTCATGTACATGTGTGTGTTTTTGAATGTCCATGTACAAGCTGAGTATGTGTGTGCTCTGTGTGCATGATGGGTGAGTATGCGTGTGCATGTACAAGGGCCCTGTATGCGTGCCCTGTATGCTTGTGCATGTGCTGTGTGCATGTGCCTGCATGCATGCTCTAGTGAGAAGGGGTTCTAGATTTGAAGTTGAAATCCCTTCAGGAAACGGCCACTCACACCTGTGGTTCTGGTTCCAACCCTGCCTCCTTTCTGGTCTACTGGGCCCTACATAGTACCCCAGCTCTGTGGGAAGCCCCAGGGACCTAAGCAGCCAGAGCCCTTCAGCCCTGGCTGGGGGCCTAGCACCAGAAGGCAGGCCCTTTGATCAGAAGCCCTCAGGTCAGGAAGGATCTCATGCTAGTGTTCCCAGAGGGTCACGTCCAGAGGGACCTGCAGGGAATTTTGGTCTGGCTGGGGCTCTGGCTAGACCCTGTTAAGAGGGCTTGGTGAAGTTGCAGCGCCACCTGGTGGCTGGACTGGGATCTGCTGGGACTGGGCCTGTGACCCTGGGGTCCCACTAAAGGCCTCAGCCACCCTGGGGACATCTTGGGAGAAGGGCTGAATCCTCCAATACTTGAGGAGGACTGGGGGTGCCCAACACAGGGCCTTCTTTGGGTAGGAGGAAGGTGGTGGGACAGGGCCACCTCCTCCTAGAAGGATGCTCCAGGAAACCCACAGATTCTGTTTAGGGGAAGAGTGCCCTTCACTGAGCTATCCTCTCAAGTTGGGGAGGGGAACAGAGGGATAAAAAATCATTTTATCCCTTCCTCCTTCCCCGTCTCTACTTCTCTCCATCTCTCTCCTTTCTTAGTCTTTTCCTGTTTCTTTGTCCTTCTCTCTTTTTCTTCCTCTCTGGGAGGGTGAAGTTATTCCTACACCTTCCCACCAACCCCACCCCTGTCCCCACCTCCATGAGAGACCAGACTGTGGAAGGCCTGTGGCCCAGGTTTGTCTGTCCATCTGTCTTTCCTACACCCCAGATTGCAAGGCCTGGCCAAGGGCTGGGCTGACTCAGGTTGACTGACCAGGTTTGCTGTGGGACTTTTGGGGATCCCCTCTGGAAAGTTCAAGGAGAAAACTCCCCAGAACCTCACTTCTCACATGTCCATCTCCTGGGCCAGGCTGGGTCCTGTCTGGAGCCCCCTGTCTGGGACCCCTCCATGGCTTCTCTCTCCTGCTTGGATTTTCCAGATTTTGTGTGGGAGACAAATTCTTCCTGAAGAACAACATGATCTTGTGTCAGATGGACTATGAGGAGGGGCAGCTCAATGGCACCTTTGAATCCCAGGTTCAGTAATGCCCAGCGCCTGACCTCCAGGCCCGTCTGTCCGTCTGCCCGCCTGCCCACCGCCTAGCCGGCCAGCCGCTCTCCTGCGATTAGAACTCCTCTGTCCTCATTGGGAAGGACGGCCCCTCCTCCACCACCGCCCGTCTGTGTGTGACCCTCCTGGGGCCAGGCTGGGCCTGTACAGTCTGTCTTCTGTATATAAATGGGAACATTTATTTTATGAAAAATGTAATGCGATTTTATTACTGGCGTGGATTAAACTTATGAATGTTTCTGGGGAGGTTTCTCTGCATTGGTCACATGACTGACACAGACCTGGGGCCCGTCCTCTCAGCTTGGGACTGGGACAGGGCCCTCCCCTTGGCCCCTGGGGGGGCAGACATGGAGCAGGGCCTGGGGCTCCAGCTGTGCTATTGCCAGGTAGGGGAGCTCCAGGTGGGCTCTAGGGGGGAAGAAGCTGGAGGGAAGGGGACAACCCTCAGCACCCTCCAGCTAGAGGTGGGAACGGGGTGTCCTCCCCCTGCCCCAGACCCCAAGAAGAAGAAACACAAGATAAAACCCTCTCTTCGCTGGGTTCCTGTGTTACATCCCCCCACTGAGACCCCCAGACTGCCCAGACAGGGACCCAGCTCCACGGTAGGACCCCAAATCCCAAGCCCCCTCCCATGGGAGTACCATCCTTAAACCCCTCTTCCCTGGTGGCAGCGTGTGCTGTCTCCTCCCTGCAGCCAGGGCCTGACCTGGGGCCCGGCTTTCTACTCTGCTGGGTGAGCGAAAACACTCCTGCTGTCCTATAACTCAGCCACACAGGCTAGAGGCTTTCCTTCATTCAGTCAGCAAACCTTAATCCACTCTGTCTCAGCACCATGCTGGAAGCACCAGGCATGAGGATGAATCATGGATCGGATACAGTTGGTGCCCTTGAGGAGGAGGTAGAAAGCCAGGGAAATACATGGAGCACGTTATGGTGAGGACGAACACTTCGGGGAGACCTGGACAGGCCAGTTCCATCCAGCAGACACAGGATGACTTGTGACAGAGAGTCAGAGGCAGACAAACCGATGGACACTCAGGCAGACAGATGCATGTGCTGGCAGTCAGGAGAGATAGACACACAGTAGATGGTGCGTAGGCAGAGATAGGTAGGGACAGACAGACAGGCAAGCTGGCAGGCACTCAGGCCAGAAGACAGCCAGACCAGCAGGCGACAGGCAGACACCAGGGCATTTTCCTTCCACTGGCTCAGCTTGGCTCCCCCAGGGCAGCAAGGGATGCTGTCTTGGTCTTGGCAGCAACCACAGCACCAAGCACAGAGCCTGGAACTGAAAAGGTATCACTGAACGGTATTAAAAAGAAGGATATATGGACAGGCTCCCAGCAGCCCACTCGCTCCTCCTTCCCTGGAGATTCTTTTTACCCTGGCCACAGCCCAGAGCCCAGGGCTGAGGGAGCCAGCACACTGCTTCAAGCCCTGCCTGCCCCTGGGCAGGGAACTGGCTGCTGGGGTCGGGGGGTGGGGGTGGGGGGCGAGGCTGCACTGGGCTGGGACCTCCCGTCACCCCACCCCCAGGCCTGCTCCTTCACTTTGAGGGAAGTGCGAGGATGGCTGGGCTCTTATGGGCACTTGGAGGAGGCCACGTCTTCCGGTTGTGGTTTTGTGCTCAGTGCTCCCGTCTGTGGGGAGGGATTTCTGGGGCCAAAGATCTTGGGGTAGGAGTTCTCAACTTTGGGGCACCCACCTTCGGTGAAGGAGCTGCACCCGTGTATGTGAGAGAAGAAGGGCAAAGAGACAGTGCATCAGCTCCAGTGGGTATTTTTGCATGGGTCTGACGAAACTGGGGAGCTGTCTGTATGTGACCACATGAGATTGTGCATGAGTTTGAGGGCTGGAGTCCATAATGAGGAATTTTCCTCACTCAACATGCCAAATTATTTTCCTGGATTGTAGCAGAGCCCCCAGTGCCAGACCCTCCCTGGGCCCTTAGGTCGAGGATGGCTGTGCCCACCCCAAAGGCCCCAACTCCTAACTTCAGAGTTTGCTGCAGATAAAGTTGTAACACAAGTTAATTACATGGTTATCGAGAGATAACAGAGCCACTCGAATGCAGTTTCTGGGCAATTACAATTGTTTCCAACAGAGTTACCATATTGCAGCCATGAAATAACGTGTCATTTTGCAGTAATTATGTAATTAACTTGTCTTACCACTCTAGGTTGCACAACAATTAATTCACTCACAATGAGATAGACTCAAAGTCAGGCAGCCAGAGTTTGAAAGCCCCCAAGAGCAGAGCTGGCCTTCTAAGAGGACCCCAGCACCACTTTTCCCACCCCAGACCTTGCCAGGGGGCTTCCTCAGCTCAACATGGCATGGAACCTGCCAAGTCCAGCATGGTGGCCCCACTTACTGCTGTCTCACCATCCTCACCCAGGAAATGAGGATGATCTCTTTCCTGGGGCAGCCATGGGGCCAAGATCTACACTGTGAAGTGCCATGCTTACATGAGCTAGGGTCACCATCCTGGACACCATGAAGACCTGAGTAGGAGACCCTTCACCCAGAAAGTCCCATAGCAGTCCACAGCTGCCCCCAAGAAGAGGCCACACAGGCCTCACCTCAGCGAGTGTGGAACCCATAGGAGGGAGCGGGGAGCAGAAAAGAGACCAGCTTTCTCTATAGCAGGAATAGAGGGAGGGCTGGAATGGCTCTTGGGTGCAGGAATTATGCACCTGGAGAGGATTCAAACCCTGGGGGGACCCAGGAGAAGCCTGAAACCCCCTGCCCCATCCCACTACTATGTAGGACAACCTTGGCTAAGCATAGGGCATGAATGGTCCTGGCCTGGTTCTCCTTGGGCTGCAGCAACATAGAAGATGGGGATACAGGGGAGCCAAGGAGTGCTGAACATGAGCCATTAGAGGCTGCGGCAGCTCGAGCCTCAGCTTGGGGCAGCGGATGGTGGGGGTGTGGGGAGTGTTGTGCTGTAGCTGTGCACAAGTCCCTTCTGCCCATGGGACCCCATCTCCTCTCCCTGCCTTCTTTGGCGGCCTCGTGTCAGAGACTCCCTAACAAGGGGCTTGGGACTCGTGGAATATGGCACCTGCTTAGGCCCTGACTTCTGGGCCTGAAGCTGGAGCATGTAGTCTGTGCTTGGAAAGAAATTTGATTCCAATCTTGACCCTCCTGCAGGGCCCATCATGAACTCCCACATGGGTCTTCTCTTCTCCTGGGCCTGGTCCCAGAAACTGTGGCCCATATCATGAGACCTAGAGGAGCCCCAGGCAGAATCCATGCAAAATTCCTGCCTGGGAAATCTCATCTCTACGTAGAAACAACTGTTTCTCCCTTAAAGCTGTCAGAGATTGTCACAGCCAGATGAACTAAATCTGGTGCTTAGTGATCCCCAGCACCACTCATCTGGGGATGCTGCCACCAAGTGAGGGTGGGTTCTGGAAAGATGCTTTTTAGCTGCAACTTTGTATCACTCTTGGTGAAAATTCCAGTGTAAGAATGCTGTCAGTCTAAGTTGATATTTAGCTACATATTACCTCTAAAGCTATAATTGCCTGAAAATGAATGAATAAAGATGGGCCGATATGAAGATGAGTTAGTCCAGAAAAATTCTTGGTCAAGCCTGGTTTATCATGATAAAATAATCAGATGAAACACACACACACATTACCTGGCCTGGGTCCAGTGCTCACATAAGAAGTTTCACATCAAACTTCTTCCACCCTGCGGTTTCTCCCTTTCACCACCTGCATGCCCTTCATGGAGCAGGGACCTCCCTTGCTAGGGCTCCTCATTCCTGGGTTAGACCCTCATGCCGTCTCGAGGGGCTCAGAGTGCACCCAGGAAGGGGAATGCAGCTGCTGCTCAGAGCATCCATCAGGGCTGCGGGGCAGAGGCCAATGGCCAGAGGTGCTTTACTAGGAAACTGTGAAACTACTGTATAGCAGGAAGAGGAAGAGGCTGGACCAGGCCCTGGGCCAGGCCTCAGGGAGGAGGGAACTCTGCTGCTGAGAGAGAAATTAGCTTTTAAAGTCTATTTCCAATGGGAAAAAAAAGACTCAGATTAAATATTTCGGACTCTCCAAAATGGTTTTTATTCTGGGGCACCATCCTTCTCCTTTACGAGAGCTGACAGAAACCCTCTCTGCTGCCGGGTTCCCCAAAACACCAGCGGCTGCCTGGGGCACCCAGGTTTGAGTCTGTACTCCCTCGATCCCCTGCATTTCTCGGGGCACACCCAGATTCCAGAGAGGAGCTGGACCAGGGGCTCCTTCCTGGGGCTGGATTTACAGACTCTTATCTCCTGCGTCTGTTCTGTGAGCAGAATGGGGAGCCCTGTGTCTTGGGGGCTGGGCTTTCCTACAGTTCTGGCAAGTTCAGTATTGCCTTCCAGAGTCTGAAGGTGCTAAGGGACTGAGGCAGCTCCCAGGCCACATTTCTTGTTCTAATGGGTCTCCCTTCTGCTCGTGGGGAATATGGGAGTTCCTCCCATATCTGAGAGCCGAGGGATCCTCAGAATGACCCAGGCTCCCTTCTCCTGCTTCCCCCCGCCCCTAATCTGCCAGCACAGATCAGGGGTCAGAGACAGCACACAGAGATAGAGAGACGAACAGGGAGACAGAGAGGGAGAGATGAGAGAGGGTATGAGAGGGAAGGAAGGGAGGAGAGAGGGAGGAAAGGGAGGAGAAAGAGGCAGAGAGGGAGAGAGATGGAAAGAGACGAGACAGAGGGCAAGAGAGAAGAGAGAGAGTGGGCAAAGGGTCTGAGAAGAATCTTCTAACTGCAGGGAAGGCACGGGGTGAGGGGGCCGCAGTGGCAAAGGGCAGTGTGGCATGGTGTTGGCATGTGGCCCAGGAGTCTGATAACGTGTGTTCAGATCACAGCTCCTCCACTTGGCAGCTGCACAGCCTTGGGCAGCTTACTTAGCCCTCATCTTACAGATGGGGGATTTCCTCATCTTTACAAGGGCGGTGTTGACAGTACCTGCTCCTCGGGGCTGCTCTGGGCATTAGATGAGTCGTCACAGGGACAGCACATACTCACAGCTGTGGCTGGCTCGTGGTCAACACCAGGACTGTAGCTGCTGCTGAAATATTCACTTTATACAACCAGTGCTGGGTCCACTGGTTCTGAGGTCTCCGTTCAATTCTAGGGCAGCCTCTGGACCCCTCCCACAGGAGGCCTTGGCTCCCCACAGCAGCCTCTTGCCTCACCCCAGAGGCAGTTCCTGGGCATCGGTGTGTGCTCTCTGGAGAGGGCACTGCACC